ACTCGCGAGGATTTGCGCCCCAGTTATATAAGGTGGCAGATATAGCAGATAAAGTACTAGCTGCGCGTAGTAGGACACTAGTAGGCAAGAACTGGACTTAACAGTTTATATCTTATATAAAGGAGCTTAAAATAGCTTTTAATTGGGCAAAGAACTGCTAGAGAATACTTTAGGAAGACCTAAAGGTTATTAATATATAGTTTACTCTTATATAAGAGACTATAGCTAAGTATAGTATCTACCTAGATAACATCTATAACTTTAATAAGACTGGCTTTTAAATAGGTATAATTAGCATAATAAAGGTTATTACAGGTTTAGAGAAATATATAAGGCCTAATCTTATTTAACTAGGCGACCGAGAGTAGGTTATAGTTATCTAGAGCATCTGCGCTGCCGGATATATAACCCTACTATTTATTATCTATAAAGGACGCGTTTATATCTCTGTATAGTATAAGAAAGTAGAAATACTATATAATTAGAAGCTCTCTGTCTCTAAAAACGGCTGGACTAATAATAAGCTTAGTCTTAAGTAGTTAAAGCACTTTAACACGTATATAAAGGCGCGTCAGGTGGGGTTATATAGGTTGCTGATTTTGGACGGCTATAAGAGCTACCTTAACTAAGATTTTAAGGATTATTATATTAAATAACAAATCCTTACCTTCTATATGCCTGCGCATTTATTATATATACTTTAGCTACTTAATATAGTGTGCTTCTTGCTATTAAAGCTAAAGTACTCTTAATATATATAAGACTTAGCACGCCAACGCGTCTACTATATTAATAAAGAAGGCTTCCTACTAGCCTTTAAAAACGCGTTTTTTAATATATTTATATATAAGAACTGTAAGAAGGCCTTTAAGGCCTCTAGATTAGTTCCTATTAACGCGCAGGTAGTTCTTAATCGCCTTAATATACGGTTACGGACCCTACTACTAGCACCTCTACTAGAAATACTATAGCAATTAAAAACCCTAAGTAATATATATAAATTTAGATTATAGTTAAGGCTAGTAAGCAATTCCTTTATACGGTTACTAACAACCGCCTAAAAAGGCTTCTTAAAGCTTATTAAAGGAGCCGAAGAAATACTACACAAAAATGTGCTTATTAAAGCCCGGGTTAAAGAGCTTAAAGAGCAACTAGCAGAGATAACCAAGCGTAAAGGTCGTAAAAGAAAGCGAATCCAGACTGGCGGTACAATAGAGTATGGTACAGCAGCGTTGTACGTAGCTGCTGAAGTGTCTGGAGCATCTAATCCACGGAAAAAGGTGGGTAGTAGAGATGGTGCAAATAGGGCTCTACCAGCTCAACGGCGCTGTGGAAACTGTGGAGAAGCTGGGCACAATGCGCGTACGTGCAAAAAGGATTAAGAAGCTTCTTCTGAATCTGATCTAAGTGTGTCGTACACAAGTTCTATAGCTGGTTGCGAATAAATTGACTGCGCGCACATGGTGTTGGTTGTGCCAAGGAAAAGTGGCCGGCTCGGTGGTTTGGCCGGCTCGGTGGTGGAATACGTTATAGAATTATAATAAATATCTACGTGTAACGTACTCCACAAGCGAGCGGCCCACCCAAGCGAGTGGCCCACCTTATTACCGGAACGCGCTCCGTTAACTTTCAACCACCATGCCTCAACAACGCAATACGCAATCAATTCAAAAAGAAGGCCAGATATGCATAGCTATCTCAGCAATCGATAAAAAGCAGTTTAAGAGCGTGCGACGCGCTGTTGCAACATACAACGTCCCCCGAACAACCCTACGACAACGACGCGCCGGAACAACCGCCCGACGCGATTGCGAGCCCAATTCAAAGAAGCTTACAAAGCTGGAGGAATCAGTTGTTATTCAACATATAATTGACCTGGATTCGAGAGGGTTTGCACCGCGGCTAAGCGCTGTGCAAGATATGGCCAATAAGCTGCTAAATGAGCGCGGTGCCGGCCAGGTTGGCAAGAACTGGCTATACAACTTTGTTAAGCGGACTGATAAGCTTCAAACACGGTTTAATCGAAAGTACAATTACCAGAGAGCCCTATGCGAAGATCCAAGGATTATTGCGCCGTGGTTTAAGCTTATGCGCAATATAAAGGCGAAGTACAGTATTACAGATGACGACTCCTACAACTTCGATGAAACCGGCTTCCAGATGGGTGTTATCTCAACAGGAGTAGTTGTTACAGGCTCCGAGAGACGGAATCGACCAAAAGCTATACAACCAGGCGATCGCGAGTGGGCCACCGTAATCAAGGCCATCAACGCTTGTGGGTGGGCAATCCCGCCGTTCATCATCCTTGCGGGCAAATACCACCTCTCTGCATGGTACGAGGGCAGC